TCTGATTGATTTGTTAAATGTGTCATGTTATTCATACTCCCTTTGGACTTTTTCAGGTACGCAGATTTTCTGAGGCATTCTTTTGTTTTGAACACCCAAGAGATGCTGTCATTGCATACCAGGAACTTCAGTGAGTAGCATAAATCCAAAATTAAAATGATTTTATTTCCTTTTACATAAGATAACCTATCTCAGAATTTATCAGTGATACAATATATAATTTTTAAAATGATGAAAGTAGAATTTGACATTCAGAAATCTCATTTAATCACATTGGGTTTAATCTTATTAATTCATTTAAGATCATACATTACATAAAGAAGCATGTTGCACTATTATCTTCTCCTTCCATATCATATCTATATCCTTGGTAGTCCCATACAGGCCATTTTGTTGTATCTTTATTTTCACAAGTCAAAATCTCTTACATTCATTTTTTTGTATTATAGATTTTCATATGTGTTCTGACTGGCACTGATTTCTGTTATGTAAATGATTTACAATTAAAATATCCAGAATAGATGCCTTCTATTTTTCATACTGAATATATTTAGATCAGTTTTCTTTGGGCTTTAAAGAATAATTTGAGAGCATTGTACTGAGCGAAAGAAGTCAGACATAAAAGAGTAAATGCTATATGATTCTATTTATATGAAGTTATGGAATAGGCAAAACTAAGATGAACAAAGTCAGAATAGTGGTTGTCTTGTTGACTTGGGCTGGGGGTTTGGGAAGACTTGAGTGTACTTTCTGAGCAGATGGAAATATTTTGATTATGTATCTATTTGTCAAAATTGTACAGCTAAGATTTGTATATTTTAATACATGTGAATTTACCTAAAAAATAAATGATAAATAATAACAGAGTGTAGGAATAGGTAGTGAGTGGGGGAATAGATAACACAAGAAGGGCAAAATGTTAATCGTTGAAGCTGAATGGTGGGTTTTTTTAATATTCTGTTTACTTTGATTTGTTTGAAATTTTCCATGAGAAATGTTTTTTAAAAAGCTCTTTTATATTAGAAAGTTATGTACCTTGTTTAAATAGCTGTTAATTGTATTCATCAAAAATGTATTAAGTGTAGCAATAGCCATGAAACACATTGTTTTTTTTTTCAACACTATCAAGTCATTAGTAGACATTTGAGCTTCTGGTATTTCTCTTATATGCTATTCTCAGCAATTAGGAAGTTCAGATATTAAGCATAGATGACTCACTTTGAAATAACATTAAAAAGTATAGACTATAATAGAAATAAAATAATTTATCAACAAACCATAATTTTATAAGCCAATAATATATTGTCAACAACCATAATTTTCATTTTACCAGTTTTTATCTCCAACCAAAGAGCTCTTTCATAAAGAGGTTACATCTTGAGGAAGGGGCATAGGAATGGTGAGGGGAATGGGAATGGGTAGAGTCTATAAAGTGAAATTAGGTGTAATTTTTTAAAATTACAGTCTGACTTAAGAAATATTTTTCAGTGCTCAGAGTCATCTACAGATGTGCACCGCTATCAAAAATACTTCCTTCTGCAGTTCTCTTCCACCCCTACCTATTGAATGTAGTGAATTAGATGGAGATCTCAATTCATTACCTATAATCTTTGAAGATAGGTATTTAGATTCAGTTATTGAAGGTAAGTATAATCTAAAATATGTAAGCTGTGTGTGTCATTTTCAGTATATTCTTCCTAACATACATAAAACCATTCCCTAATGTGGGGCTGTTTTTTCCCCCTCCAGTTTTATTTATTTTTGAGGATATTAGAAAGTTATAGTCAGAAAAAGTAGTCTTAATCATATGAGTGCACACAACTTGTTTTAAACCTGAATCTTTTTTTTTTTTTTTTTTTTGGATAAAAGACTTAGATACACCCTGGATGGGAATTCAGAATCTTCAGAGATCAGAGTCCAATAGAATGGATAAATATGAGACTGAAGAAAGCTCTGTAGTTGGACTTTCTAGCCCAGAGGTGAAAGTCAGACTTGCTGGTGCCTCCAGTTTTTGGTATACAGAAGGTGAAAAGCAGCTAACAAAATCTCTAAAAGGAAAGAATGAAGAATCAAATAAATCCAAGGTTAAGGTCACTAAGCTCATGAAAACTGTGAAATCTGAAAATACAAAAAAAATAATAAAACAGAACTCTAAGGATTCTGTGGTTTTGGTAGGCTACAGATGTTTGAAAAGTACAGCATCAAATGATCTCTTTAAAAGCTTTGAAGGCAATTCTTCACATAGTCAGAAAGAAGGTCTGGATCCCACAATATGTGGATATAATTTTGACCCAAAGACCTACGTCAGACAGACAAGTCAAAAGGAAGCTAGCTATTTGCCAACTAATACAGAGAGAACTGAACAAAAGTCTCCAGATGTTGAAAATATACAACCAGACCTGTTTGATCCTTTGAACTCTGGCAGCCTAAATCTTTGTGCAAATTTGTCCATTTCAGGTAAACTTGATATCTCCCAGGACGATAGTGAAATTACACAAGTGGAACAAAGTGTGGCAACCAGAAGTTCATCAGACAATTGCCATGATCATCAAACAGTCCCATCTGCAGGAGTTAGAACAATTGAACTAAAGCCCTGTAATAAAGATCCTTTCAGTGGAGAGAAAATAACTGTTAAAATAGGACCTTGGACAGAGCTTCGACAAGATGAAATATTTGTGGATAGTTTACAACTACCCAACTTTGAGTCCTTAGAATCTAATGGTAAATCTAAATCTATAGAAATAACACTTGAAAAGGAAGCTTTGCAGGAAGCTAAGTATCGTTCTATTGGAGAGTCATTAGCTAAGTTAAGAAGTAATCAGTCTGCTTCTTCTACAAAAGAATATCATGTTGTAGTAAGTGGAGATACAATTAAGTTACCAGATATTAATGCCACATATGCCTCATCTAGATTTTCAGATTCAGGTGTTGAAAGTGAACCAAGTTCTTTTGCAACACATCCAAACCCCGATGTAGTATATGAAACTGTGCAAGGGCAAGGTCCTTACAATAATGAAAGATTATTTCCTCAGCTTTTGATGAAACCTGATTATAATGTAAAATTTTCATTAGGAAGTCATTGTACTGAGAGTACAAGTGCTTTAAGTGAAATACAGTCGTCTTTGACATCTATAAACTCTCTCCCTTCTGATGATGAACTGTCACCTGACGAAAACTCTAAGAAATCTGTTGTACCTGAATGTCACCTAAGCAATAGCAAAACTGTATTAACAACTCTAGGAACAATTGATTTGCCAAAATGTGATGATAGTAAAAATTCAAGTATTGTTTTGCAGCAGCAGAGTGTCATATTTTCAGGGCATTTGGACAATGAAACTATAGCAATACATTCCTTAAATTCAAGCACTAAAGACCCTTTACAATTTGTTTTTTCAGATGAAGATACTTCCAGTGATGTGAAAAGTAGGTGCAGCTCCAAATCTAACTTGGACACTATGTGTAAAGACTCCCAGAGTCCTGATAAATCTAATAACTCTGCAGGAACAGCAATTACATTAAATTCAAAACTGGTTTGTTTAGGCACCCCTTGTGTTGTTTCAGGTTCCATTTCTACTAGTACAGAAGTTAGTGAAGATAGAACTGTGAAAAGAAAAAGTAGTGATCTCAAACAAATAAATTCAGAAGCCCCTACAATTAAAACTGAGACTTCTTTGGGTACAAGTGACCCTTTTTCAGCCAGTCCAGATATGGTAAAACAAGGGCTGGTGGAAAATTATTTTGGCTCTCAAAACAGTACAGATATTTCTTACATGTATGCTATTAGCTACAGCAATTCAGTTAGCCCTCAGAAGGAAACTTTTGAAAAAGGAATTAGTAGTCTTCAGCATGAGCAGGGTAAAGAGGATGAGGAGGAAGAACAGGATCAACAAATGGTTCAAAATGGGTATTATGAAGAAACAGAGTATTCAGCTCTGGATGGAACAGTAAATGCTCACTATACCAACAGCGAGACAGTAGAAGAAGAAAGACTTATAAAATCTGAAAAAATAAACAGTGAATTTCTGAGGGATGGTATAAATATGCCTACCGTCTGTACTTCTGGTTGTTTGTCCTTCCCATCTGCACTGCGAGAGTCTCCTTGTAGTGTTAAGTATTCTTCTAAAAGTAAATTTGTTGCCATTACAAAGCAGCCAAGCAGCACTTCGTACAACTTCACTTCATCAGTTTCCTGGTATGAAAATTCACCAAAACCTCAAATACAAGCGTAAGTAACGGAGCACAATAGTATGTGCTAAATGCATATAAAGAACTATACATATATATACACATTTATTTATTTATTTCTCTGGTAACATATATTTTATGTTCTCTGGTTTGTATAATATAAAATGTGCTTCTTTGATTAGCTATCTAAAATGGAGAAATGGACTCATTATACAGTTTGACAGACCTGTAGTTTCCTGTATGACTGTCCTGTTCTATAGGCTAGACATTCCTAATATAAATTTTCCATTGGTAGTTTATGTTAGAAGTATGGAATAGTTGAGATTAAAACCCTTTTTTCCATCAGTACCTTATTTCTTCCCCATTAACTGCCAGACAAAAGTTCTTTTATAAGTACATCTAGCAAAAAGGATAATATTAGGTAATGAATAAGAAGTTAGTAGAAACTTGCTAAGCCTACTGGACCCAGATTGTCTCAGTTAAGTCAGTGGTTTCCAGAATTTAGATTTCATGGACTAGTAAAAAATCCAGAAGAATTTGAGGACAATATAGGTTTACTAGCCTGGTACTGGTTCTCAAAATATTCTTGTACCTAACTCCAGATGGAGTTATAATCCCTAGAGTGAAAGGTCTGGCCATGTCTACAGTAGATTTTTAAAGTTCCCAAATTATTCTGATTTATACACATAATTAAGGTCCATATTGCTGAAGGCTAGTGAAACCAGTGAGGTGATAACAGCCTATTAAAGACATAGTATGCTGGAAGGGTAAAGGTTTTACCACTTTCTGGGTACTTCGACTGTTCCGAAGTCATTAATGAAAAACATTTTCTATATGGTCTTCACCCAGTGTATCCTACCCAGTTTAGTGTTCATCAGCTTCTTTGTTTTACTTTTATCCATCCAAATGTTATAATCTTAAAATAGTTAATGATTTTTTTAAATTTTTAGTTAATAATTTTTGATGTTTGCAGTCCCCACGTTAGTTAGTCACTCATTCCAAATGAGTGTATGCCATCAATTATCTTTAGTCACATCCCCCTCTTGGTTCTGCTGCTTCTTGTTGGCATTTTTAGAGAAAAACACAAATATCTAATCTACTAAATACTATACCATTCTCACTGTTTTTACACGTTGTGGAACAGCTCCTTCCCTTCCGTTTATGTAAAATTAAAAAGGAGCAGGGAGGACAAGATTTGATTACAGGATAAGCATCAGATTATCATCTTTCCAGTACTTCTCCCAGCTTTTCCATGAATACAATATAAAATTTTGTAGAAAGCATAACTCCACTCCTAATATTTTCTTAGTTGATTTCAAGTAAAAGAATATTTTAAGTGATTTCAGGTTTAAAATATTCATTGTCTTTTTAAAGTTCCCAATGTATTTGATCAGAAAATGTACTAAAAATAGTAAAGAAAATTGCTCTCTGATTTCTGAATCATTTGGGTGATCCCACGTATTTTGATTATTTTAAAATCGAATATTGCTGGTTTTCCTCTTCTCTGTAATTCCATAAATTCAGCAGATTGTCTTTTTGGTTCTAAAAACTTAATATAATAGTAAAAAGTATCTTTTATAATATTTTGCTTCAGCTTCCTTCAGGCAAAAGAAGAATTGAAGCAACTTAATCTCCCTGGCTTCATGTACAGTGATGTTCCTCTGTTGGCCTCCTCAGTCCCCTATTTTAGCATGGAAGAAGAGGACGGTTCTGAAGATGGAGTACATCTCATTGTCTGTGTGCATGGTTTAGATGGTATGAAACATCCACTCATGTAACCCACAGCAACTCAATTGTTTTCTTTTCCTAATAGATCCTTTTAGTTTTATATAATCTTTAAACTGAAAACAAGATTTTTTAATTGCTTAAATTAGTTAAATCTTAAATCTATTCTAAAACAGGAATATGCTTAGTTTTGCTAAGTATAATGTCAGATTTCCTTTTAAGTAGATTTTCCATGGAGCTGATATCCATGTGCCAACATCTTTGTTTACTTTAATTTTGGATTTTTCTGTCTTCTCTCTCAATTGTGTTGTATTTTTTGTTTTTTTTTCCAGCTATCACCTCATGGCAATCATTTTGTCTTTCTTTCATACTCTTCCTACTTCCCTTTTAGCTTAAACCTTATGGACTAGAAAAATCAATACCTAAAAATTAAAGATTCACTAATTAAATAGGGTTTAATTTAAATTCTGAATACCTGGCTTTAGTGCTGTGGTTTTATGATCGCTATTTTGGTTACTCAACGGACTTTTTTTCTTGATTGGGAATTGTATTAGAAGATACCAAATATGCCTAGACTAGCAGGGTATTACTATATTATAATGTTATTCTATAAGAACAAATTGACAAAAGATTTTGTGTATTATAAAAATACTAAACACAGGTCTAAGCTAGTAAATTCTCATGAAATGGGAGATTTTTCTTTAAAAAAACTGACTCTCAAGAAATAAAATACCTCCAATACTAACCTCTTTCTCCCCAATAATGAAATTTTAAAAGAATTATGTCCAAAGCAGGACTTTTTGGTTCAATAGAATCTCTGGCAAATTCATCTTTGAAATTTCAAGAAGCACGATATCACATTATCCCTATGTTATATGAATAATAGAAAGAAAAACAAAAGACAGAATATAACCCATTTTGTTCCTTGAAGTTAACCATGCTACTAAATAATGTACAAGATATCACACCATACTCCAAAAACAGTAGATCTATCTGACAGAAATATACTTAATACTGTAGCAATATTGCAGAAAATTCATTAATATTTAAAATCTCCAAAGAACCCTCTAGCAAATATGATTTAATTCTCAAAATGCAAACAAATAAATATAAAGAAATTTGTTAATAAAATATACTACATCAGCAAATCAAGTAAGAAACTATTGATAAAACTCAGTATTTCCCAATATGACAACTAAGCACCAAAGTTTAAGCCTTAAATAGCACTAGTTCTAGTTCATTAGTATGATTAAATATATATATTCCCAGCCAGCATAAGCCTAGTAGTGAAACACTAGAGGCATTCTTTTTAAAACCAAGAATAAAAGTTATCTCTGTCAGTGCATGAAATATCTAAGATATAAATATTGGAAGGTTAAAGGAAAAATTCAACAATTAATAATGACATGTTTATATTTCTGAGTAAACCAAAAGAATTAGCTAAAAGGCCACAAAACTAATTTTTAAAGATAATTATTTTTATATTTATGTATTATGTCTATATATAAATATTTTATATTTCTGTATATCTTTTAAATTAGTAATTAAAATAAACTATCCTAATTTATTTAAATGGATTTTTATTTCCATTACCACCAAAGGAAAATCAACAGATTAAATCTAAAATACATTCAAGGTTTGTTAAGTGATCATCTAGAGGAGTAATGGTAAGGAGAATACTTCAGTCAGAGTCATTCACAGCTATTATAGCAAGCACTCACCCAAGTGAGGGTCAACAGTTAATACGCTGTTAGGTGGGAAAGTGAAAGCGTCAATGAGCTCTTCACTTGTGCAAAACCTCCTAAAGACATTGTCTAATGAAAATCAGCTTTGTAATAAAATTTGAGGACTCTGTTTCAGAGTACGTTGTCTATTCAAAACTTGCATAAGGTCATATACTTGTCTTTAAGTACTGTAAAAATATATGATGATGCACTTCGTATCTTTTACTTTATCTTATCCTTCAGGCATAATTTTTCATTTTGTCCATTTTCTAGGTAACAGTGCAGATCTGCGATTAGTAAAAACTTATATTGAACTTGGACTGCCTGGAGGAAGAATTGATTTTCTTATGTCTGAGAGAAATCAGGTATAATATCACAGTGTTTTCAGTGGAAGCAAAAATTTTATACTAGTTGCTACCTAAATATTTGCTTACTACAAAATGCCTGTAGTGGTAGAAATAATTTTTCTGATTTCTATAAAATTTAACATTAATACATATTCCAAGGAAGTAGAAAAGATTTACAGTTCAATTTAAGAGCAATTCACATGTGCAGAATTTCTAGAATTTCACATTTTTATAAAAATATTTTATTAAACCATTCTAAATAACCTTATGTTAAATGTTGCTTGCGGGCTAAACAATTAACAGCTAAATGAATTAAGCGTTATTAAAACCATTGAACTTTTTTCCTTAGAAATTCACTCTTTGCTCATTTTAATACAGTGACTATTACTTCTCTAATTTCTCTAAAAAACACTAGCCTTAACCATATTTTCAATACTTAAATTAAAAATAATGTTTCTTTTCAGTTTTTTTGCATAATTATACATATTTAGTACATGAAGTGTCTGTTTTGCTTTTGTTTAGAATGATACTTTTGCTGATTTTGATAGCATGACTGATCGCCTTCTGGATGAGATAATACAATATATTCAGATATATAGTCTAACAGTCTCAAAAATAAGGTAAATTCTATAATGTTACACAACTATTTTATATCTACAAATTATAGAATAACTAAACAGAATTTATAATAGTTTTGTTATCCTATTCTGAAATTTAGGAGACTACAACTCAAATTAATTTAAAGAGGAAAAAGAAATTTAAAGGTTTTAGGGAAAGGCCATAAATTATATGATTCTGTTTATATGAATTGTACAGAATTAGCAAATCAATAGCTAGAAGTAGATTAGTGATTGCTTAGAGCTGGAGGGTGATAGCTGAAAGGTACAAGGTTTCTTTTTGAGGTGGTGAAAATGTTATAAGATTTCTAGCAGTAGTGGTTGCGCAACTCCGAATACACTAAAAACCACTGAATTGTACACTTTAAATGGATGAATTGTATTGTGTATGAATTATATCTCAAAAAAGTTGTTACCAAAAAAAAAGGTTATAGAGAAATGGGTATATCTAAACAAATGAAACAATAAAAATATTCAAGCTCTCTTCTTTCACTGTTAATTGTCTCCAGAGATTCATATACCATCCGTTGTAAAATAATGCTAAGCAAAAGGACTCTTTTGATTTAAACTATTCCTTAATAAAGGTGAAGTACTTTATAAATATTAGTTATTCTTTTGGTATAATCTTAGACTTGTAATAAGAAAATGCAAATGTTTTACCTGTGCCTTGAAAGTACTTAGTCAAAGAACTCTCCCACTTTTGAGTGTGGACCAGAGAATAAGAGAAACAAGTGTATAATTTCTTGTATGTCATCCTTTAGAGGTACAATATCATTATTTTGTTTTAAATCATGACTTAAATAATTGTATGCCTCAGGAAGCAAATTTATCATCTAGTCAACATATTACTTTTAAAATGTATTTCTAAGCACTTATAAACTATGAATAATGTTTTTATTGAGTAAACACTTGTTATATAGTAGGAATTTTCTCCAATATCAAACCGTTATTTTAAGACATATTAGATATTTAAAAATTTTAGACATTTCACATCTCTGTAAAATAATAACAATATCTTTGGTATTTGTTTTAAAAACTAATACTAAGGGAGAAATGTCATTCTTTTTCTCTTAAAGCTTTATTGGACATTCGTTGGGCAATTTAATTATTCGTTCAGTGCTTACAAGGCCAAGGTTTAAATATTACCTCAACAAACTTCATACCTTTCTATCTCTTTCTGGACCTCACCTTGGTACACTCTACAATAGCAGTGCTCTTGTTAATACAGGTAAAAGGTTTTTCGTTCCGTATAAAAAATATGGCATAAGGAGAAAATTTAAGTACAAATTTAATATTTTTTGCTGTTGTAGAACCAACTTGTCACATACTTGGAATTTCATGAAACAAAAGATGTAGCCATTTTTTCTATTTTGTCATGCACATAAAAAAAGCTCATAAGTCATTTCCAAAAATGAATATTTTCATATTGAGATGATATTTCCAAAAGGCACAAGAACTTTTTTCTTTTTTTTATTAAACTGTCTAAATATTTTCAGTAAATGCTTATCTTATAAATAGGCTATTCTGTTGTATTAGTTGAGCAGATAAATGTCTATATTTAATATATTATAAAGTTATAAAATATTTTAGAATGTTAACTAGGATGTTGGTTTGATAACAATAAAGGGATGTTATGAAAAAATAAATTCTAAAATTTTTAAAGAATTCAAATTAAAGTTAAGAGCCCAATTTTGATTAGATTAAATATTCCATCTAAGAAAGATCTTGATTCTTGATTTGCCTCTTATTTGGCTTGGTTTATCCCATAGACCTTTTTTTAACAGTTTTTTAGTTTAGTCAATTGATTCTCATTGAGAGAATAAATTTGATTTCATTGTTGTTGTTTTTTTTCATTGAGCCTTGAAACTCTTATTTCCATTTCTCTTTCACTTCTTTAATTGACAAAGAAATCAAACCATTTTCCTTAGTATCCCATTTCAAATGGTAGTGTTCAAAATATATCCAGTTCTAGGTTTTTACAGTTTCAAAAAGAGGAACTGAGAAAAATAAAATCCATAAATAATAGATAGAACTCAATATGAATAAGATGCAATACTTTGAATTGCATCTTTCCCCAGATAGGCTTACAATAATCAGATTTAATCAATTAAAGATTTTTTTTTCCTATTTTCTTTCCTATTCCCCTCTGTAATATTAGAGGCACCAAAAATGAAAATGAATATTCCACAAGCTTGAAAACCAGTTCCAGAGTGATTAGGGTTTCATATAAGAGGAAGATACATTTAAATATGGGTAACTGATAATATAATGAAATACAATAAAATATGAAAGTTAAATTATATTCAGCTATTACTAGAAAACATTAACTAATTGTACATTCTAAGAGTTGGTTCTTATACAATTAGTCTACCATAACCTGAATGTAATTATCTACAGTCTGAAGACTCAGTGCTTAGGCATTTGAATATACTATGTTTAAAGTTTTATCCTCCTCTACTTCTTTATAATTTGAACAAATTAAAGGTAAAATTTCCTCAGATTTGTTCTTCATAGACCATTATCTTATTACTGATTGAGAAAGAAATAGTAAGCCCTCCATTAACCCATAGTTCACCTATATATGTATTTATATGTTTATATTTGTTATCAGAAAATAGAAATATTTTACAAATATATTTGTTAGCCAACAAGTGCTAATTTGGGAGATAATCATTTTTGAAATGAAATATATATTAAAATTAATAACTTTGGCATATGTTACCATATATTTCGTTATACTCACATATTATTTATAACTCTATAGGTCTATGGTTTATGCAGAAATGGAAAAAATCAGGTTCTCTTTTGCAATTGACATGTAGAGATCATTCAGACCCTCGCCAAACTTTCTTATACAAGCTTAGTAATAAAGCAGGTAAGTATATATTAACAATTTTGAAAACATTCACTTGAAAACCTTTTTTAAAATAAACCTTTAAAAAAAAATAAAATAAACCTTAAATAAATCATCAACATGTCTTTCTGGTGATTCAAAAACTATTAGTCATTGTAATTTCTTAGTAATGAAATAGCAGACTCAATTAAAACTAAGCAATCAATAGCATGGTTTAATTTTTTCACATGATTGTATTTATCATTTATGAGCTGTGTAGCTACTTTGAAATTATCCTAAAATTTTTAGCATTTATAATTCATACCAGTTACGCTAGTCAGTTTTTGAGCTATGTCTCTACACGTCTAACCCTTCTAGCTGCTCCTACCCCAATCTTCAATCCTTGTTATAAACTGACACATATTGTTCTACTTCACTATTCTAAGGCCATCAGGCATTTCAAGAAAATATCAGAAACTAACCTATTAATAGTTATTCCTTCTACAGATTCTCCTCATGGATGAGTCTTGTTACTCATCTCTTACTAGCTGATTATGAAATATATTCCCCATCTTGTATATATTTTCTAAGCTTTTATAGCCTGAAGTCCCCAACCGCTTCTTTCCCATTTTCACTCTAAATGACCTTACCATATCTCCCTGAGTCATCCTTACACTGATGTCTTCTCAGCACATTTTTTCCACTACATCCTTTGAAATCTCCATTTGAGAGGAATAGACTGCCTTCATTTTTATTTTCTTCAAAGAGTGTTATCTCCGCTTCCTTTTGAAAATGGAGACATATCTGAAACCTGGATATTACCCCATCCCACCCACATCTCCTCACTCCTCTCTGTACAGCAGACATTGGCAAACCTTTTCTCTAAAGGTTCAGATAGTAAATATTTTATTTTTGTGGGCCATATGATCTCTGTTGCAACAACTTAACACTACCATGATAACACAAAAATAGCCATAGACAATACATAAATTAATGAAAACCCCCTTCTTTTTGAAATACTTTCCTCTCTCCAGTTCTGTAACATCAGCCTCTCCTGGTTTTCTTTCATCTTGGCTCTCTATGGTCTTCTATTCTTTCCTTCCTGCTTAAATATGTTGTTCTCCTTGGTCTCCACCCTCTGTCACCCGCTCGTTTCACTCCATACATTCAGTCCTCTGTGCTGTGCTCTAGACCTACATGTCTAGCTGCCTACAACATATATTCACTTAGATGTCCACTCAGATTACATCTCTGGACTCCACAACTACAGGAATGACACCATCTCCTAGCCAGAAACTTAGAAACTATTTTAGACTCCTCTTCTCACTCTCCCCCATATCTCCTGAGTATCAAGCTCTGAAACATTCATTTTACTTGGCAGCTAACAGAGGCTTGTCTTTTCTTTGCCAATGTCCTAGTTCAACCTTCATCACTTTTACTTAAAGTATTTCTATGGCCTCTCAACTGGTTACCCTGCCTCCTGTGTATGCCTCCTTCTACAATCTCACTTCCTCATTAGATTAAATGATCTTCTAAAAATTAAATCAGACCATATTGCTCCTGTTTGAAAATCTTTCATGGTACCTTGTAGCTCTTAGGATGAAGTTTAGATTCCATGGTTTAGGGCATGAAATCTGTTATAATCTGGTTCCTGATTCTTTTACTTGCTTCATATCCTAGACTTCCCACTTACACATGTTTTGCTTCAGTCATGCCACATATTGTTTTACGCTTCCTTGCATTCATCTATGCTTTTTCTACCACCATTTTTCTCGATGTGTTTACCCATCTTTTTAGATCTAATTCTCTTCATCTTCTAAAGTTAAACTCAAGCACCACCTACTATCAAAAGCTTTTCTTGATACTCTATCTGATTTAATGCTCCCTGCTCTCAGAGTACCAAGTATATGCCTTTATATCCCAAATCTTATATCTCCAGGACTGACTTCATTAATGAACTTCAATCCTCATTTGCCTGCTAGACATCACTACTTACATATCAAACTACTTGTGTTTAATACTGAACATAGTGTCTTCTTTTACTACCTCTTTTTTCATCCTTATAAAAATGGTACTCTATACTCTAAATTTCTCGATTTGAAACACCTCAGTGTCATCTTCGACCCCACTTCTTTGTGTCCCACATCCCAAGATTAATATTATTTCTGAATTCATATTAGTATTATGTCTGAATCTCTTTTATCATACTCATTACAATTTATCTCGTGTGAGTCATTTTTATATATTTTATAAGTAAAATATGTTATGACAACTCTTCCCCCTCCCCCCACATCCATACTCAGTATTTACTATAGTTCTTCCGAATAGGCGTTCAGTGTAAATCCTTTGAATCAATACATGATCTTTTAAATAATATTTTTAGTATCCAAAAGCAGGTCAAATATTGTATAGGTAAGCTGAAAATCAAACTCATATTTTCGGTGACCGATAGTTCCAAATCTGACGTAACTTGAACTTAACTTAAACCCTGGCCTTTTAAATCTATTTTTTATCTTCATTCCCATCTTTCATCCTGCTCTTAAAACATTAATAATTGAATATAGCCAAATTCATTGGAGTCCTGTTTAAACTTTTTCAGGATTCTTAAATGTTGTTATTAATATGATAAAGAGATTTGGTAAAGGTTATTTCATGTATTGTCTATTATTAGAAGCAGTGAAAAAAAGCTCATAGGTTCAGTTATTTTGTTTCTGAGGTTACAAAGAAACAAGTTACCTATAGTGTACAGAAATATATACTTGATTAATAAAACTACAAGATATTCCTACAAAATCAAATATAGCATATAGTACTCATGTGAGAAAAACTTAATGACACTAACTGGTGTGTAGCTATGAAGTTTTTGCCACTGCTCCTCATGGCTTAGGAAATATAGGAAAGGCAAAACTGAATATAAACGTTCCTGGTGTCTGTGTATTTATACTGCATTTTAAAAAGTAAAATTTAATCAGTAATAATAATTAGCAACATAAGAAAATAAAAACATGAAAGAAAACATAACTGTAAAGTTTTACTGTAAAAATTCTATAATCCATGGCATTCCCCATCTGAACAGATTTCGTATTAAATTTATAATTATTAATAGATCTGAGTAGATCTTTTGCACCTGAATTATTTCTTAAGGAACAGCTAAAACTTTTGTTTACAAATTGTGAATTTATTATTAGCCTTACAGTGTAGGCAAGACCCTTCCCCCTGCCCCACCTCCCCTGCTGTGCTGGCCTGACACTGCTATTTAAGAGTCAGGCCTCAAAAGAGTGTGTAGCTGTCAGTTCTTGCTGAAGCGCTGAATAGGTTACTAAAGCTAAACAAGCCTCAGTTTCCTCATTGGTAAAATGGGGATAATAGTATCTTCCTTAAAAGGCTATTTAAAATTAATTGAGATAATACATATAAACAACTACCATTCTAAATAGCATGAAACTCAAATGTTACATGGTAAAAATAGCTCTAAATGAAGTGCCTAAACTAAAATATTAGTATTTTAGCTTATAGAAATTCGCTTTCACATTACCATCATGAGTCTATTTCAGGAGATATTTTAACAGAACTGTTTAAAAATAAGCTTATCTAAATGTCAGTATCACTAGCTACAAAAATTAATCAAATGACTTACTAAAATTGTTGTCATGTTTTAAGATTTCTGCTTGTACCCAGATATAAGTTTATTAGTATACACCAGAATTGAATTAATTTTTTGGAAAATAACATGAAAGAATACTATTTTCTAATAATTATGACTAATGCATTAAATAATACTAAAATATAGGAATTAGTATATATGGCACTTACTAAATCATAGGTATCACCTAAGCAAATTATTATACATATTATAGGACTATTATGGCCCCTGTTTTGCAAATGAGGACACTGAAGCATAGAGAGGTTGAGTGACTTGCCACAGGTCATAAAGCTAATAAGCAGTTGTGCATGGTTCGGGCCATGTTATGTTAAACTATTAATGTGTATTTTCAAGAACTTTAGAAGCTATTTCTAATAGTTTTAAATATCAACAAATATTCATTAATTGATTTTAAAATTATAATATTGTCACAAGGCTTGGACCAAGTCTATTTGTCATCTAGAGAATTATGAGTCAATTGCTAGGAAATTATTACACTTATATGTATACATGTGATTACTTTATTCACAATGTGTAAATACGTGGGTTCACATCAGAAGCATAAGTAAAACAGGACAACATAAAGCAATGTTTACTTAACCATTTTACTTAACCAATATGCTATTCTTAGGTGTTTTTAAACAACCAAAAGCCCTAGTGATAATTTCTCTTTTATGGTTTCATTCTTTTAAAGGTACAAAGTCTTGAATGCCCTAGTCTAATTATTGCTTCTGTTCTTCTGAATAGCTAGTATTTTGTTCTTTTAAGAAAACCTAAAATAACCATCTAAACCAAAATCCAACCTTCTACCTTCTTCCCTCTTTTTATTTAAGCAAAGCCTCTCCTGTGGGTCCTCCTTTTGAAACAGTCTTTTTTCTGCAACATATCATTAGTTAGTAACTTTCCTTAATGCAACCTATTCATTATTTTAAAATTAAGGAAACATTGAAAAGCCTAAAACAAATGAGAAATGTTATATTTTTTATAAAAATCATAGATTTGTCAAGTATGAATTGCCTTTTTTATTTTGTGAACACAATCGATCTTAAAGAGCTAAAGAAATATTTTTAAGAGAAAATTATCTTTTTTGATAAAGGCATTACAATTACAAACATTCATTAAATTTTTATAGCAACTTTTGACCAAAAACTACAGCATTCTACAAACTGCTGATAGAATATAAAAATAGTTTGCATAGTATAGTTAGAGCATACTAGTATCTCAGCACTGATATCAAGGCAAAGATGAAGGAACTAGAGCAATGTGGAAGGCAAAATGTATTACATATAGATTGGGTGACACCATTGGTGAACTAACAAAGATTACATGAAGAGAAAGCACTCTTCATTTCTTAATGAGGGCTTATATATATAGCCACATAAGAATCTATTCATTGTTGGAACTGCCAAAATATAATGCCATATTTTAAGATCTTCCAGAAAACATCTGCTTAGAATCTCTTTACCAGGTGTTAAATTCTGACAAATAAAATATAACAGTTAAAGAAGTCTCCCGCTGTGCTCCTATGGCACAAGATAATCTTTTCTTCCAGCAGATTACAGAGGTGTTTAATAATAGGTATTACTTGATTTGTAAATAACATTCGTATTTTGTTTCTGAAAGTGTAGGAAGAATCAGTATCGGCTAATGTTATTTAAGGAAGCAAATTCTTTCAAATATAGTGTTTAAAGTAAATGAGTAAAAAGAATAGTTTAATGTGTCAGTTTAAAAAGCACAGGTTTTCTCAGCCTCAGCATTATTGACATATTTAGCAGCATCCCTGGCCACTACCCACAAAATGCCAGTAGCACACACACTTCTCCACACCCTCACATCCCCCAGCCCTCAGTTGTAACAACAAAAATGTCTCCAGACACTGCTAAATGTTCCTCAGGATGCAAAACCACTAGTTTAGAACCACTGCTTTAGCCAATTCCAGAGAGGAAACAAAATGAGTCAATGTGAATTGCTTTAAAACATTGAAATTTCAGAAAAAAATGAGTCACCAAAAGTATCAGGAAGACTAAGATTATAAAGATGAAAGTTACCATTTATAATGTCCACACATAAATCATGTTATTACACAGTTGAGAAATATGAAGATTTCATCTTTTTCTTGGTAATCGTGAAAAGTAAATAAAATATTTAGAAACTTTTCTAGATCAACTGTCTCATCCTACAGATGGGGAAATCTTGTTACTTTCCCAAATTAGAGGTAACTTTTCAACCAAGAATAAGCCACTTCAGGGGCTGAGTGAAGAACTAACCCTAAGGCCAGTTAACTAGGTCATGTTAATCAGGTAAAGTCAGTGTAGGTGCAGAGATGAACATAGAATATAAGGTTCCTAAAATAAAGACTTTAGACATTTTTATAAGATGGACTTCAACTCAGATGAAGTACTTCCAGAGTACTGTGACTCTGGGCCTAACATGTCTCACTTTGAGTTTCTGTCCTCTCCAGCCAACACTGTAGAGAAAGAATTGAAGCAAAAAGATTCAAAAAGAGTTATAGTCTATTTAACTAACTTGGTTCTTGGCTAACACAAAAAGCAACTCTTCTATGCAAAAGTACAATATTAGTATTTATTGTTGTTGAAAAACTATTAATATAGAGTACTAAATTTAAAATGAATTTTTGAAGTGCAATACTGTCTTAGGAATCCCATTTAGAAGTACAAAAATATATTTATATCAATATCAGGATCTTTGATTTATTTCATCATCATGGAATCAGAAAAATTGATGTTGCAGGAGAGAAACAGGGCAACGACTAGAGCCAGGTCCTTAAATAGGCAGGAGGTATTAGGACCTAGCATACAAGTATAAAGGCTGGCCTGAGGTAGGAGCATGAACGGTTCATCAGAAGGAACAACAGTGATGGCAGAAAATGAAAGTATAGGTGTGGTGGTAGCTTCATTTAAGGTGGGAGTATGTGGAAGTTCTCTTCTAATTCTTCTGTATTCTCAGTGAAATGGAAAGCAAGAAGAGGGGCTAGAAGATGCTGGCAATTTGAAGAATAATACCCATTTAGGAAAAATTCAAAAATACCTGTTGAGCAAGGTTGCCACAGGCTGTGCAATGTACAACTCCAAGAAGTGTCATTCATGCAAACTGTGATACAAATGCCATTGCTGGAGTTGTGCAACATGGTAGCCCTTTATGGAGAGCATAAATATAGATCTTTTAGATAAATGAAAAAGCTAATTGTGCTGTTTTATGACTAGTTTCATGCAGTTTGGTATAAAATTTCAATAATTTAGATTCAGAAAGTACAGCACCTGAAGCAACTTGGAAGTGAAGATGATGTACAGTAGGGCAGTTTTCATATTATTGGCTTGCTTACTCTTTAAGAGAATTTTGGAAAAGTATGTACCCCCTTGTGTAATTTTAGGGTTGCACCTAAAAATACTTTCTGTAATTTTAAATGGTTGCAAAGGATATGTTTTCTGGCATATCAGGTAGTATATATTTACTGTAATTATATTTTCATAAAAGTATAAAGACTCATTCAATTAGAGTTATAGATTTAGCTCATTCAATTCAATTTCTGGAAAGTGTGTGCCATAAAATCTAATTGGCAAAGCCATTTCTTATTGTCAAACAATCAGTCAAATCAAACCTACTTTTTATCAGAAAAAGTTAGATTTCACTTATATTTTGCTCGGTTCCCCAGAGACTGTTATACTCCATGGCTGTGCACCATAATAAGATCTGAAATAGATTCGAAAAATATCTTTCTCTTGTAAAGTGGAAGAAGGACAAGTCGTTTTTAGAAAAGCGCTCTTACAGAAGTTGGGCTCTGGAAATCAATTTTCTTAAAGCTATACATGTCCATCTACACCATGGAGAGTCTTAAATTACCCCCGGGGTAAATGTATATATATCAGTTTGAAGACCTCTCTCCTCTAGGTACATAGATAATTCCCAAAGTAGTGCTAATGTTGATGAAGATATTGCTGTCAATTGAAACCAAAAGTAGAATGAATTTGTCTCATGAAATGTGAGAGTGAAAGGGAAAAATCTAAGTTTTCTTAATGAATATGATTTTAAATATGTTTGTATAAACATATTCCCTTTCACTCTCACATTTCATGAGACAAATTCATTCTACTTTTGGTTTCAATTGACGGCAATATCTTCATGTTTGTATAATTGAATTAATTCCTATTATAGACATTGGATTATTTCACTTATGTCCCTAGAATTTTATATATTCAAATTGCCTCAAAGTGGTATCTTCTCTTTGGGAAAAAAGAAAGGTGGCCTTATATTTGGCATGGATAGTATATACAGCCTCGCCTGGTTCTGTGTGGGTCTACACTTTCTCATTATTAGGATCCTTAAATTCCAAGGGAGGAAGGGAGATTCTACAAAGGCTTCCTATATTCTGGATTTGCAGTAATCTCCACAATTGGCCTATCTCTAAGAATCTGAATTTTAGTAGGCGGAAAGTATCAGAATTTTACTCTGATACTTTACAGTCCAGAAACAAAATATGCACTACATACCTCAATTATAATGTATTGTCTTTATTGATTTGTATCTTATTTAATAATCACAAAATTTTTATTTTTTTATTAGTCTGAGCTAAATAGTAAAATTAGAATATTTTTGGTACTGAAGTGGTCAAGAACATGGGTTTAGTACTTAACCTGAATTAATTAACAAAGTATCCCAAAGTCAGAAGCCCTAAATTCACCTAGTTTAACAAAAAATAAAAATAAAGGGGCCTGACGAAAGTCTGTGGGTGGATCATGAAACCCATTATTATTACTAAAAAGAATGAAGTATGTATCCTCTTGACATCATACTTAAATAAGGAGAAAATATGGTTAGGCAAGAGTCAAATGAAAACTTAAAGTAAAAAGTCAGCTTTAAATGAGTTCATATAGGGTGTTTTGTTTGTTTTTGTAGAAGAGTAATTTCGTTTCTTTGGGAAATATTTCTAAATATTGAGGAATAGCCTTTGAAAAGTAAAAATGTGAAGTATTTGGTATGAAATTTTAGTCCACCGTAACCAATTTCTCCTCCATTCCCACAGTACCACACCACAATCCTTGCTCTCACTCATTGCAAACACACATTTCTCATATCTGACATAAACTACATACAATGAAGCTGGGTGTTTTGGGGTCTTGGGGGCGGGGGGTCATTTTTTGGTAGATAATACGTAGAAATTTGGAGAAAGAATTCATCAGGTATTTAAAAGTCATAAACAGTGCTACTGAGGAAATAAAATTTTTTGTCACTTAATCTAGTACTAATAAGTTGTTCTAAATCTGGTTAATAATTGCATTATAATTTATTATTTTCTCTTCACAGGGCTTCATTATTTCAAAAATGTTGTGCTAGTGGGATCTCTACAGGATCGCTATGTTCCTTATCATTCTGCCCGCATTGAAATGTGTAAAACAGCTTTAAAGGACAAACAGTCAGGTAACAAAGTAAATTAGAAGTATTTTAAAGAGTTATATCTACACATAAACTTTTCCCCAAATTTTTCTTGGAGTCACTTTCTCTCTTCTGTCATCCTTCTCCTCCCTTTTACTTCTTTTTCCACCCACTAATATTAACAACTATCCTTCCTCCATTTTCTTCCTTTCTTTACTCCTGCCACATCAGCTGTTTTTGCCAATAAAACCGTGGTGGTTCTTATGAAATAGTTCTTTCATCTAATTACAAATGCTTCTACATTTTGCTGCCTCAAAAGTAATTTGTACTTTGATTTCCTCCAAATTATTGGCATTAGTGATTGTGGTAATGGTTATGTTACATGTTTAGCTATTTCTCCCTTTTAGTCAAAGATGGCAGCAAGGACTTGCTCCACTTTACTGATAATGAGTTATAAAGATTTTTTTATTTATCCTTTTGCTATTTTTTAATAACAAACGAAATCTAAATCATAGCTATTTGGAGCCAGGAGGAGACTTGGGTCCTGTTTGCTCTTTTTATTACTGAGGCAAAGATACAAAAGGACTTATCCAAAGTCACTGGTGGTTAATTTCAGGATTAGGGTAAGAATCTGGGTGTCCTACTTCCCAATATCACCTCAGTTCCTTTTTTGGAATAAGGCTGATTTTAAACAAATTCTTAACCCTTTGCTTTTCTCATATTGTAACAGTGAATAGATTCTTTAGGCAAGGACTCTCAGACATTATTTTTATTGGCAGTGCCTAGCATGGCACATAGTAGGTATTCTATTCATTTAACAATTTTTTTTCGAGCATTTCATGAAGTCAGAATAACCTTTTTAAAAACTTCTGTTCTAGAACAGTCCACTTAAGGGAAAAGGCTAGAGTCCTCTTAGAGAAAAATTTAGAAGAAGTTTAACCTTCAGATGAGTCACTGAAAGTAGACAAATGTCCTTTGTTTTAACTGAGATTCTGTGCCACTTGGGGACAGGGGAAATCTAATAAAGAGAGGTTTGGATTTCTTCCTATGTAAGAATATTTTTTAAGTAGCATGGAACCAGAAATTTGATTTGACTCAGAATGAAAACTAAGAGGAGAGAGAGGAATAAAAAGTTTTCTATTAATCTTTCTCTTAAACACCTCTCTTCTTTCTATAGTTATACCTCTATGTACTCTTCCCTTCTCGTCATTCCTCAGGGGGCTACATCTGCCTCACCTCCAAAATTTAATACCTGCCTCCCTAAGATTGACATGTTCCATCTATTAGTAATATAGTAATGCATAAACATAAAAACTATTTTGCCCCTTATAAGGTAGCTTGTGCCTTTGTATATATGTATATTTAACCATTATCTTTTATGCTTAGCATGACCTCAATACATCCACTGTAGGAATTAACCAAAAAGAGGGAAAGAAGCACAACTATAGAATTAAAAGCTGAACCAAGCATTAACAAAACCTTCAGAGCAAAAACAGGATCCTCTTTGATCTTTGGCTCAAACTCATATTGTTCTTCTGACGATAGGAAGTTGCTGCTGTCCTCAAAATAATGTAGAACTATGTGGAAAAATGTTGACTGCCATGGAAACATTATTAAAGTACTTGCTGTAGACTAAAATTTTAAATTTTGCCTTATCAAAATGTCTTAGCATGGCTACCTTTTCATAATGGTTCAGCGAGTCATAAGTCATTTAATGTCGAAGCATGCTGTTTGTTCTCTTATATTCATTGTGTTGAATTAAAAATATCAAATTGACAGTAATGTATAATAAATTTGTTATTTTTACTTGGCTAGATAAATAATATAATTATATTTCCTCTAAACAGTCTCAAAAATGATAGTAAAAGAAAAAGAAAACCTTTTAAAAGAACTTTTCAGCTTTAAGTGGAAATAATATAACCAAATTTTATAAATTATATAAAAGTTGACATGGAATTTTTTTCCGTTGCTTATATGAACTAATTTTCCTTTATTCTATTTTTTCCATAGGACAGATCTATTCAGAAATGATCCACAACTTGCTTCGTCCAGTCTTGCAAAGCAAAGACTGTAATTTGGTTCGATATAATGTCATCAATGCATTGCCCAATACAGCTGACTCACTCATTGGGAGAGCTGCACATATAGCTGTTCTTGATTCAGAAATATTTTTAGAGAAATTCTTTCTGGTTGCTGCCCTCAAATATTTCCAATAAGATAAAAACATTGTTAGAGACTTGACAATTACCTCATTCAGCAATGATTCAACTAATGTATTATATTAAACTATAGATGCTGGTAAGTTCTAAGAAATATTTATATCTTTTTATATGGAAGATAATTTATATCATCCATGTGTAGAGCTTTTTGAACATCAACTTTACTTTCTAGGTAATGTGGCTGTGCAATATTTTTTTAATTTTATCTTTTTACTTTTCTATTTTTCATATATTTTGCTACATAAGTATTTCAGTGAAATTTAAGCCCATATGTATGTCTGATTATTTATTATTGGCTTTCAACAATTCTTACATCAGATTCATATTAGAGGCCATTATTGCTAGAATAGCATGAGATTTTAAATTTTATAGTACTGGAGTATATTCAGTTAATTATAAATTTTACTTTTAATATTTTACTCTGTTTTAACTGGAAAGAAAATTATAGCTGCTAAAATATATTTTTTGAAATCAACTCTTTAGCCCTGCCAAACCAGGTAGTTCATATATGACAATGTTATAAAAGTTTTCTATAAAAAGTCATTGTTATTGTTGCTATTAAACATATGTCATGCCTATTAAAATATATTTTCTACTGGTGATTTCAACATTCTTTTTCACATTGCCTTTTATTACTGGAACTTTTCATGTTCATGTTAGCAGCATCTAGAAATTTTTGAATGTTTGAATGCCCTCTGCCTTGATTTAGTTGGAATTTTGCTAAATTTGGTAATGTTGCTTGAACTTTCTGACTACATTTCTTTAACTTTTTTCATGGACTTCCTTATATGTACATAATAATTAAATGTTGAAATTTGTGAAATACTTTTATGAATTTAGATAATTTTTAAATTGTTAAAATTCGTTGAACTAAAAAGATGTAAAAATAATTCATGCTAAAAATGGAACAAAATAATTAACTTTACGTGTTTGGTGATACAGATGCAAATGTTTTTGATATATGGAGATGTTAAGTCTTTTGACTTTACTAAAGGTGCTGAATAGCATTAAATTCACTATTTTCTTTCCTGTTTTACTTGTGAAAATAATAATACACTAAGGGCGAATAGAAGGCCTGTTTGGATTCACCAGTTGTGATTGGACAGAAGGTTTTTGTAAATATGTATTGTATAATTGATGCATGTTTATTTTTAGCATTGTGTTATTGCCCCTTGTTAATAAATGAACAAATGACTATCTAGAGGAATAGCTAAAACACTTGCTTGTTTTCAGAGTACTAGAAGTATATTTTTATTTATAATCGAATAGACTATATTAATTAACTCTATAGACCAGCCTGATTGTATAACTTATAGTCTTTGTAAAGTATTTTTATAATTCATATCTTTTACATATATATTAAGTAGTTAAAATTATTATTTCATTGATTGCTCTCCATAAATCTTTATTTTTAAAAAAGTACTTGAAAATTCAGTGAAATAACTAAACAATAATTTGCCAAGTTCATTTTAACTGGAAAATGTAAATATATGCATTATCCACCATATATTTTTTGCCACACACAGTTTTTATATTCACATAGGTTGGCCCTGAGTTTTAAATATCATGCTTATCTAAGTTTGAATAACCTTCCAGGTTAATCAAAAGATTCATTATTACTCATAATCATATACTTGTATTTAAGGGTAAATTGCTCTTATGATCATATTTAGTTAATTGGTGTTGGTTGTTTTAATAGTTTTAAAAGCACATCAATGATCATGGTTTAAAATCTAACAGACTTCACTTCTGGTTTATCAGAGAAACTATGATATGCTATTCATGTCCTAATTCAGATTGCAAGGGTGGAGTAGAGAAACAATTATCTGAAACAGTATAATTGACTCTTAGAGATGAAGCTCATAAAAGTACATAACCAATAAGGATTCTTGATTGCAAACAGCAAAAAAACAATTGTGAATAACTTAAGCAGAAAAAAAATAATTCATTGGAAGAATATAAGGCAGCTCACAGAATTGATGAAAAGGCTGGAGAGCCAGCTTTGGAAAACAGAAACCAAAGGAAGCTAGATAACCAAAATTATAGCCAAGTTCCAACCTCGAGAAGATCTGGAAGTTTGTGTATACTTTAGGCAGTGATGCCTCTGAAAACTGAATTCCAAACACTGCTTATTTGCATCACTCATTGCAGATTCAGCATCTGGTGGGAATGTCCAGTTGACCAAGCTTATTTGTCTTGTGCCAGCACTCAGTCTGTCAGACATCAAAGACAGCAAGTATATCTGACCTTCTCAGCTTCCACAGTAGAAGATGGGATTATTTCTTCTACTAAGATTCACTAAACATGTTATATTATCTATGGGTTTGATGACTCAGCACCAAATATAAAAACATATCAGAGGTCTATCTATTATACTCCATTTCTTTGTCTTTACAGCATCTATATATACCACTTCTCATATTTACACCTTTAAAATGCTTCCTCTTCTGGTTTTTATCTTAATAGTTTGGAACCCAAAGATAATATAATATTGTAACTGCACCACCACCATCACCACCCCTATATGCAATAATTGTATTAAGTAGGAAAGAAAAGATAAATTGTTAAATATATAAGTATATGCATGACCCAATGAGAAAGAAAATACAGCTGCAGCCATGTTTTGCAAGCTTCCTTGGTGAGGATTAACTGGGTTATTCATTGAAAAATTAAAACTCCAGGGTACCATTACAGACCAACTGAATCTCCAGGATAGGATACAGGTGGTAGCATGTTTTACATCCCAAAGTTCTCTGATTTAAAAAAAAGAAAGAAAAAACTATGGTAAATACAGTCCAGTTCTACCGCTGGTCATAAAGCTAGATGATTATGACTTAATCACCACAGCCACTCATTTCCTGTTTCCCTTGTGTTCAGCCTGCACCTCAGCTGATAAGATTTCTTTACCTAGTGGGTGACTTGAGGACCTGAGGTTTGGGCGGTTTTGCCTATATATGGTTGCAACTGTCTTTGCTTAATTTTTACAATTTAACATGGTATTGGTAGAATTTCCAAGAGATGAGATTCCCCTGAGTTCTCGTCAGACTCCTCTCCTTACTCCCTTTCCCCCCATGGTCATTAGAGCCAATCAACTCCAGCTAGCACCATAACCACTTTTCTAGCTCCTTACCTAGAGTAATGAGCTCAAAATGACCAGGTGGCAATCCCAACTTCCAATTCAAAGGAAACATTGTATCCCCTTAAACCCCATTCAGGGTGCAAAAATTGCTATACCAACAGAACCTGGAATCATGGAAATGGGTGCCAAGATCAGTGAAGGAGCTGAGATTTTATCCTACTTGCTGGTTTGCTTGCCACTGTTTCATGGATGCTGACAGGAGACTCCTGAGTAAGAGGCAAAAGACTATTACAACAAAATAGTAGCCAAAGTGCCATCATATTTGTACCAATTCCTGGAGCACCAATACCCACAGTGATGCAGAGGGCCATTTGACACCTGTTCACATGGTGGATTACATTACAGAAGAATGGGCTCAGGGCTCAGAGCCAAGCAATTTTTGAGCAAGCGGCAAAGAAGCCAGTATCTTTCTCCCCGGGGAGTGGCAGTTAAATGGTAGTAATGCTGTGGTTACCTTGACCTATTTAGATGCCTATATGACTAGCTACAGAAACTTTGGTAACAGGAGAAGGATAAGCCTTGCAGTTGGCATACTCAGCAATAATATTCAGGGACACTCAGGACCCACGGCAGATTCTCTCTCCCCACAATAGAAAGCAAAATATATGAGCAGGATGTCAGATATAATAAGGTGTCAATCCGTCTGCTACTCTGGACCCTGTTATTCTGTCAACAGAAGAGATATCACTGAATTCTGTTAACTCATTTGGAGCATATGCCAAATCCTTTAGGATAGCATCCCAAAGTGTATTTTCTCACCTGGTTCCAAAAGTAAACCTTCAGTAGGGCTGTCTATTATCCGTACCCTGCTTTACTTCTTTCGCAGGAAATTGAGTTCTTGGTAAGAAGCAATGCTGTATAGGATGCTATATAAGAGGTATGGTGTATAACGTGTTCAATAAGCCTACAAATGGAGTGTATAAAAGAAGCATAAGTCAGAGAAAGCAATCCAAATCCAGAATAATTCTCTCTTCCTATAGAAGAAGTTACGATCTCCTTCATTATAATAAGATTCCATTGTAATTAAACCTGCCACCCAGATTATATAGTGCTATATCGGGATCAGGTTGGTCACTGCAAGAAGTGCTAACCAATCAGTCTTGGCAGAGGTATACACTATGTTAAAAAAAAAAGTATATATGCAAGTCTCCATGCCACCATGTCTACCTTATTAGTGAACAACTAAGCAAAACACAGCTGTGGTGGGGGAAGGAGACTGATGTCTACAGAATGGGTCACTGTGGTAAGCAGCCTCTAAGGGCCTTCAATGATCCCCACCTGCTGTATTTGTCCCTGTGTAAACCTCTCCCTTTGAGAGTGGGCTGGACCTGCTTCACTTCTAATTATAGAATACAGCGAAAGTGATGGATGCTACTTACGAGATGAGATTACAAAAAGACTGGCTTTCATCTTGAACAGTCTCTCTTGTTCTCTCGTTCATTCATACTGTGGAAAAACCAGCTGCTATACTGTGAGATGACCTTTGAAGAAGTTCATGTAGCACAAAACTGAGGGAGGCCTCAAGTCCAAAGCTAACAGCTTGACTGCAATCTCATTTAAGACATAGAGCCAAAGGCACTCTGGCTGCTGAATTCCTGCTCCAAAAAAACTGAGAGAATAACTGTAGTTTTAAGCCACAAAGTTTTGGTATATGTTAGGCAGCAATAGAGGAATCTTGATCTAAGAGTCCTTTTGCTATGGGAGCCTTTTTTGAGCACTCAGTGGGCCCCATATGTTCTTATGCTTTGGGACCATTTTGAGAGGTCCTATTCCAAAGCCTTTATATTCCCAGCCCCTGACAACTTGACTAAACCAGTGCCCATGAAATGATGTAGATCTTTATCTCAAGTCATATCTCCTTCCGGCCTAAGTATATAAGATAAAGTTCTGCCCTGTGGAAAATTGTTTTTCTCTCTCTGCTGTTCTTTGAGGGCCTCTGTTCAGTAGGGCTCTAAACGCCAAAGCAACCTTTTGCCAACTGGGTCAGTATATTGAGTAAAGCCACCTGTAATCCATCTTTGAATTTTTTCTTCAGTCAACTGCTGACAAGGAACTAATCATTAAGCTGTAGATATGAGCTAAGGGTTAAATGTATGTGTGTGGGAGCTAATGGCCCTGCTCTGTATATACCACTTTTTAGTGAAAGAACTCCTTATCTAGGAGAACCAGATAACTCCCAGTTCATAATGAGAAACTCAGATTGCATAGCCACCTGACGTCACATGGTCAAATATTACCAGGGCCCCAATCGCTAGCCAAGACGTTTAAAAAAAAGAAAATTCTAGAGATCTCCACTGTGATTCTGTAGACTTCCACAGGCTACACAAAGCCTCCTGATATGCCACATATACTCCCAAAATATTGGAGCTATTGGAATTCAACTGGCAGAGCTCCTTGTACTGCAGCCTGGGCCAGGTGGAAAGCTTGCTCTCGCTCTGCACTTCACTCAAAACTGTCATCCTTCAGGTCATCTGGTCAATGAGTCAGAACTGAGGAATTAGTTCACTAAGTAGAGATTTAAAAAATAAGAGCGAGAATTGAGGGAAAAGAAGACTATTACACGGGCAAAAGAGTAAAAGATGCTCAATCTTTGTATACTATTAAAAAGATCCTCCAGGAGAGGAATAAACGAAATTATTCCTTCATCCAATTTCAGCCATGATTTGGGTTTTAGTTAACAGGGGCGTCACGGTAATTTTGGTCGTTATTCATGGCAAGGGAGGGCCGCTCTCGGGTCCCCTTTGCCTTACAGACTGCCTGGACTAGCACCTCCGACGCCCAATGCCGGCTGCGGAGGCCCCGCCCCGTCCCCTGCAGGCCACACCTCCCGAGCGCCCCGCCCCGCCTGTGGGGCGGGCACCGGGCACCCGACAACGCCGCTGGCTTCATCAGGCTGGGCGGGTGCGGACGCTGCAGGAGCCGGCGCCATGACCTTAACACGGCTTGCCGGGTTTCTTGGTTACGTTCCGACTAGAGCGTGGAGGGCAGCAAGTAAGGCGCCCGATGCTGGGGCCAAGGTCGCGTGGGCGGGTTCGCGAAGGCCCCGGCGCCTCGAGAAAGGCCTCCCGCAGAGGAAGCCGCGTGTGTCCCAGGCGTTTGAGGGTGCAAGGGGTCGCCCAATTTCTTTCTTCTTCAGCTCGGCCACCCCGTGTCTTGGCCCTGGGGAGGTCCGGTCACCGCCCGGGATCCGAAGGGTGAGACTAAAGCTAGAAAGCTAGAAAATCCCCCAACGCCCTTCCAGCCGGGAGACCTGCTTCCTTCTGGCCATTGTTCTGACCTAGAAGGGCAGCAGATGTTCCGGGTTGTGTATTTGAAAGTTCACAGGGCGCACTACACTTTGATGCTCTTAGAAAAATGGAAGAGAGAGCTCTTTGGGATTGGGAAGTCATGTCCTTATTTGCATCAGAAAGGATTTGTGGCAGTTTACAATATGAAGAAAAAATTGGAAAAGTGCAGAAGTAGGCCACAGGCAAATAAGTATAATAAAAATTAGATGAAGCCAGGAATTGTTAATGTAGAAGTATCATGCTTTCAGTAAAAATCAACATTTTTAAACCCGTTTTTGTTGGAAATTTTTCTCAATATGTTACAGACTTAGCCCATAGAGTATGTTAAACATAGTTTTAATTTGGGACGTCTTGGAGAAATTGTGTTCTATAAGTTGAAAACAGGATCAGCATCACTAACCCCTCATAGTAATGGGCCCCGGATTTCTATGCAGTTTGTTTTCCTTTCTGTAATCATTTCTCCCCAAACATATTACTTTTTAATTGTAAAACTTTTAAATGGTCCAGAAATGAATTATATAGAAAGTGAAAGCCCCACATTATCCAGACCCCAAGGTAATAACTTTAAATTATGTTCATTCAACAACCCTTTTTCACTTGTTAAAAATTTATAAAGTATTTGCTATCAAAAATTTGTATAACATGTATAAGTTATGAAGCAAAGCCAAAATTTATGAACCCATTCTCCAATTTAAGAAATAGAATATTTCCATTGACAGGCAGCTCCCTGTTTGCTGCTTTGTGATGCAGTTGTATAACTTTGCATGTTTTTGATCTTTATATAAATGGTTTCAGACCATTTATATTTATTTTACTTGCTTTTTTCAACTAATGGTGTATTATTTTGGAATTCATTTATATTGATGTGTGATTGTGAAATACAATATATTTTCACTCAATTGTGAAAATATATTGTATGTTCTTCCATTCTCCTCAATGGCCATTTGAGTAATTATGGAAACACCAGGTTTGGCTGATACACATTCTTGTATATGTTATGGGTGCTCTGTGCAAAGAGTGGAAATCATGGAACATATGATATAGAGCTGTTCAATTTCACAGTATGGTGCCAAGTTTTAAAGGCATTGTCCATTTCTACTGGCAATTTACACTTCTACCAACAGTATATTAGAGTTCCTGTTGCTCCACATATTTGCCAACACTAAATATCAGAAAATTGTATTTTTGTGTGTCTATAGGATGTTGAAATGCTATCTTATTGCACTTTTGCTTTTTTTTTGGTTAGAAAAGTTAAACATCTTTTCAAAGAATTAGGGTTTTTTTTGTGAAATATCTTTTTTTCTTAATAGATCGTCTTATTTATATTTTTTACATATATTTGAATACTAGACCTTTTTTTTTAGTTAAGTAAGTGGCAAATAGCTCAGTTCCTGGGCTTTTTTTCTTGTCACAGTGTATTTTTTTAAAAAATTGTATACAACAGTAGACAGAATAGAATAATGGATCTGCATGTACAATTACACAGCTTCAAAAGTGTCTTTTGATGAGCAGATAATCTTGTCTTGATTCTTTTGTTTATTATTGGTGCTTTGTGATCTTGACTAATAAAACTTTCTCTAATGTCGTAGAGATATTCTGTATTTTCTTAAAGGTGTATAGTTTTGCATTTTTATATTTAAACCTTTATTCTATTAAGAATTAATTTTTATGTATAGCGTGAGACAGGAAACCAATTTTTTTTTTCCATGACAGTTACCAGTCGTCCCAAGCCCATGTATTGGACCTTTCCCCCACTGATGTTATGCCAGCTATCATAAATCCCAAGTTTATATATACATATATGGATGGGTTTATTTCTTGGCTCTCTTTTCAGTTCCATTAATCTATTTAGCTATTTCTGTGCTGATATCACCTATCTTAATAACTATACCTTTGTAATTAATCTTGATGTCTAGTGGGGTAAGTCCTCCCATCTTGATTTTCAGAAGTGTCTTGGCTACTCTTTGGGTATCTGCTTTCCGTACTGAATTAAAAAATAAATAAATAAAGTTCCTGTTGGGATTTGATTAATATTGCTCACTATTTTTTAAATTATTGTTTTCTGATTGTTGCTTATATATAGAAACACAGTTGACTTATTTATTGATTATGTATTCAGGAACCTAGCTAAATTACTTTATTACATAATTTATTTGTAGATATTCAGGGTTGCTAGGTAAATGCTCATTATTTGCAAATAAAATCTAATTTTTCCCTTTTCAATTTTATATCTTTTTCTGTCCTTGCTCAGATGTCCAGTACCATGTTGACTAGAAGTGGTGATAGCAGGCATACTTATCTAGTTTATGATTTTAAAAAGAATGTGTTCACATTTCATTAATTTACAATTTAATTTTTATAATTTCCTTCCTTCTACTGACTTTGGGCTTCATTTCTTTTTCTAGTTCTTTAAGGTGTAATGTTAGCTCGTTTATCTGAGATTTTTCTTTTTTCTTGAGGTAGGCTTGTAATGCTATAAACTCCCATCTTGGTCCTGCTTTTACTGCATCCCAAAATTTTTGGTACGTCATATTTTCATTTTCACTTGTCTTTATATATCTTTTGATTACGAAATAGTTGGTCAGTAGTATGTTGTTTAATTTCTACATATTTGTGGCTTTTCCAGCTTTCATCTTGTAGATAGGTTCCAGATTCATACTGTTGTGTTTGAAAAATATGCTTGGTATGATTTCAGTCTTCTTAAATTTATTGGGACTAGTTTTGTGCTCCAACATATGGTCTATCTTTGAGAACGTTCCCTGTGCACTTGAGAAGAATGTGTATTCTGTCATTTGGGGATGGAAATTTCTAAAAATATCAGTTAAGTCCATTGCTCTAATGTGTCATTTAAGGCCAATATTTCCTTATTGACTTTCTATTTGGATGGTATATCCACTGCCGTCAATGGGGGTATTCAGGTCTCCTACTATAATTGTATTTTTGTCAGAGTGTCCCTTTAGGTTTGCTATCAATTGCTTTATACATTTTGGTGTTCCCAGGTTGGGTGCATATATATAGAAAAGGATTAATGACTTCTTGATGAATTGCCCCCTTGATCATTATAAAATGTCCATATTTGTCTCCTATTTCCTTTTTTATATTGAAACCTATTTTGTCTGATATAAGTATTGCTACACCTGCTTTTCTCTGGATACCATTGGCTTGAAGTATCATCTTCCACCCCTTCACTTTGAGTCTATGTTTGTCTTTGGAGCTGAGCTGAGTCTCCTGCAGGCATATAGTTGGGTCTTGTTTTTTAATTCATCCCACTACCCTGTGCCTTTCAATTGGTGAGTTCAGTCCATTTATATTTAGAGTGATTATTGATATACGAGAACTTACTACAGCCATTTTATCTTTTGTTTTCTAATTGCTCTGTATATCCATTGTTTCCCCCTTGTGATTCTGTCTACTATTTTAGTTTGGTAGTTTTCTGGATTTTTTCTCCATTTCTTCTTTTTTTTATGTTTTGTGTCTCAGCTCTGGACTTTTATTTTGTGGTTGCCATTAGATTTGTGTATAAAGTCTCATACATACAGCAGACTTTTTTTTCTGATTGCCTCTTCATCTCCCTGTACCCAGTCAATCCTTTTCCTTCTCTTTTATGATTTTGTAGTCACAAATTATTTCTTTTTATATTGTGCATTAGTTACCAAATTGCTGTAGCTATAGTTATTTTTAATGCACCTTCCTCCCCCCCAGCCTTATAATTAAATGTTTAATAACCTGTGCTGAAGTAGATTTGCATTTTTGCGCTTCTGTCTGTCTGTTAATTATCTTACTCAAAGTTCTGTATACTTTTGTTTCAGTAGAAGAGCTCCTTTTATATTTCTTGTAATGCAGGTCCTATAATGGCAGATGCTTTCAGCTTTTCTTTGTCTTGGAAAGTATTTCTCCTTCATATCTAAAGGATAATTTTGCTGGATATTTTATCCTTGGTGATGGTTCCTGTTTTTAAATATTTTGAATATTTCCTTTCACTCTCTCCTGTCTTATAATGTTTCTACTGAGAAATCTGATGATAATCTAATGGGGTTTCTTTTGTAGGTTACAGTCTTTTATTTCCTTGGCTGCCATGAGAAATCTTTCTTCGTCATTAAAATTTTTTGACAGTTTGAATGTCTTGGAGAAGGTCTCTTTGCATTGATATAATTAGGTATTCTGTTTGCTTCTGTTCAAAAATCCAGTTCTTTGCATAGTCTTCGGAAGTTCTCATCACCTATTTCTTTGAGTAGGCTCTCTGTTCCCTTCTCCTTCTCTTCTCCTTCTGGTATACCTGTTATCCTTATGTTGCTCTCTCTAATACAGTCAGCTCTCATAGAGTTCTTTCATTTAAAAAAAAAAAATTCTTAGTTCTCTCTTTTCTTCCTCCTGGGTCATTTCTAAGTTTCTATCTTTGAGTTTGCTAATTTTTTCTTCCATCTATTTTCAGTGCTCTCTAATGCATTTCTCATCTCATTTATTAAGTTCTTCAGCTCCAGAATTTTTTTTATAGTTTCATTCTCTCATAAAATACTCCTTCTGTTCATTAATTTTATTCCTGAGTTCATTGAACTGTGTGTCTGAATTTTCTTGTATATTTTTTAGTTTCTTCATGACTGTAATCTCAAAGTATCTGTCATTTAAAGCCCAGTCTTTTATGACTTTAAATTTGGTTTCTGAAGACTTTATTTTCTTTCTGTGTTCCCAAATTACCTTGGTTGT